CTAATTTGTAATATGTGTTGCTTTCCTTTGTAAAAAAAAAAAAAAAAAAAAAAAAAAAAGAAATGTTTTGCTTTTTTTACCCTGTGAAAGTTCCTGTGCTGTCTATTGCTCGCTTTCTCATTTCCACTGTATTGTACTGTTACTCCTTTCTGCAAAATGGTGCTAAATGCTGACTGAGCTCCTGTTTTCTGACTGCTTCGCACACCGATCACCTGCTTCTTCATTTGCAATGCAGCTGGTGTAAAAAAACAAACAAAAACCATGGCTCCCATGAATTCCACAAACTCTTGCCTCTTGGAGGCAGATAGGAAGTGTCTAATTAATATTTTGTGGCCTGGGTTTGGTTGCGTATGACGAATTGTCTCTTGTAATGTGTTAAGCACACCTCCTCCTGGTGCTTTTTCATTCTTGCTGTTCTAATGAGAATGATACACACACACACACAAACACACACACACACACGAATTAATGTATAGCCAATTGATTGTGACGTGCTTGTGATCTTTGCTTGCTCAAAAGGGTTTTGGTTTGTTTTTTTTTTTCCTTTTCCAATGATAAATAAATGCTAAAGATGAATACCACCTCCTTGATCTTGTTTTCTCAATAAGAAGCACAATTAAGTGAAAGAAACGCCCTTCCAACTGTTAATCAGCTTTGTGTTGCTTAGATCTGCCACTTCCATGCCTGCTCTAGGGACAACTGAGCTGTCACAGTCTGGTGCCCTTTAGGTGGTTCCTCACCTCAGACTGACGTGAGAGCCAAGACTTTGCAAATGGGAAGAAGGACAGTGAAGTCATGTGCACGGAGCAGGTAGTTTGGTTTTATTTTCTGTACATACATCATGTCAAAGCAGAGGGTTGGTGTGGTGAGTGCCCTGCAGCACCATGCTCATGTCCACATCATGCTGGACCAGGGAGCAGAAACCAAGACCCATCAAGAGCTGATGGGAGGGGAGGTGCTGTGGATGAGGTCGTTTTATTAAACACTCTTTTCCAACTGCCTACAGCTTTTGTTTTGGCCTGAAACCACCTGAAAGATCCATGAGAGGGGACAAGTGGCTATAAATCCTTGTTAAAAGGAGGTGATAAGTTCTTGAGTTGAGCACTTGCAGCTTGCTGCAAGCCTGGCCACTGTTGACCAGACATTTGGCACTGTCTGTGGAAGTGCAAAGCACTGATTTTACATTGATGAAAGCTTTTGCTATCTGAGGAGAATGATGGTTGCAAAGAAAGCAGGGCTGAGGGCACAATTTTATTTTTAATTATGAACCCTAATCTTAATTTAATCTCTTTTTTCTTTTAATTAGCCTGTTAGCTCCTACCAGTAATTTTTCTTTTTAATAATGTTTTCTCCTGTAATGAATATTCCAATAACATCCCCACCAGCCTGGGGAAATTGTTTGCATTGGGGTTGTATTTTGAAATTTCTCCTCCAACGAAGCTCTGCTGACTTCCACAGAGCACCAACCCTTTTCTGCCTTACCATTTCTGGGTGCTATTTCTCCTCCTTGCCTGGTTTACAAATAACTTTCTGAATTTCTTCCACCTGTGACTACATGCTAATAACAGTGCTGCTTTCTGATGTCCTGCAGTATCACTCTGCCTTCCCTCTCTCCCTCCCCG